CCAGAGTTCGTTGTTCGACTCCCGGCGAAGGCGTTTGCTATTTTTCATCTTTCCTGCTTCCAAAAATATACCTAATGTCTCTACAGAGTAACTGTTTTTAAGATAGGGAGAGGATTATTTGGTCAATATGATCGAGGCAAAGCCTCAAGGGCTATCTGCATAAGGAGAAGGATGCCTTCTTGGAGGACGCTTTAAGGGCCAATGGCTTGTATACACATTAGATCATGAAAACGCCCATGCAGCCAATCCGCTGGCGAGATTCGAACCTCAGACCCGAACTACAAATATTCAGTAACTTAACTAGTCGGCCGCTTGTGGACCTAGGAATGATGAAACAATGGCAGAAAGAAGGAAATATTAAAACTAAATAAACGTTTTTTAGCTCGTTCATAAATTAAACTTAATACTTGTCTCACACATATATTTGTGTGTCGGAAAAAATAGAAAATGGTTCACAATACACTTAATTCAAACTTGCACAATACACTTAATTCAAACTTGCACAATACACTTAATTCAAACTTGCACAATACACTTAATTCAAACTTGCACAATACACTTAATTCATGCATGCACAGTGCACTTAATTTAAGCTGATTACCAAGGAATCCTTTTAAAGAACTCAAAATTCATCAACCATATATAGTATTTATTGTACATTGATAGTTTTAAGCACGTCTTTTTTACTTTTTCGTATGATGCTTACATGTGCATTATTTTCTGGATTAAAGATGCAGTCGAATCTGCGAAATACGTTTTATTTTTTTACATTTCCATTTTTCTAATTAAATTTTTTTCATGTGCAGTGACTGACTCCTATAACAAAAATTATATTTTTGTTGAAATATGGAAACTAAACAGCAAATGCCTATGCCTAACAAAATATTAATGCTTCCCAGCTACAAAGGACCTGTTAAGAACATTTTACGAAGTACGAAATACGTTTCTTAGTTTTTGAAATAAAAGCGAGTTTCTCAATCGAAGATATGAAATCACACTTTAGAAATGCCGCAATTGTTAAATAAAAATAAAAAAAAAAAAAATAACTCAAACTTCTTCAGAAAGTCTAGAAAATGTTCAAGAAGACATTTAAATTTATATTTATCTTAGGCTATTGTATGTGTGTAAATTCCTTCGGGTGAAAAATGCTAAAGGAAAAAAAAATCAGGGAATAAATGTGTGAATTTATCAAACAGAAAAACTTCTCTTCTTTTCCTTCTTAAAAACAGAAAGGAATAGGAGAGTAGGGATTTAATAAAGGCCGGCGTATGAGGACAATAGAATAGAACGAAAACTATTCTACATAATACTACAGTAAAACCAGAAAGCTCTGTATTATCTGCAAATTTCAATGGAGTAAGAATTATGCTAAAAACAGTTTTTGAGCATTTTAATAGTATTTATAAGAAAAGCAAAGACGATGATGTTTTGGTTAAAGTTTACTCATTCAAATGTTTTAATTTAAATGACATAATTAAAATTACTATAAAATTAATAATATATTAAGACATTTTAACTTAAGAAGGATCCTACTACATTTTCATAGCTAAAGAGGATATTTCTTAACTTCAAATAACATCACGAATTAAGTATTATTTACACGGGAGAGAAATTTTGTCGTGCAATGTTTTAGATTTTTTTACTTGCGACAGTGGTTGCACAGATAAGATCGTTGAACATTGATATTCGTTCCGAATTTAATTCACAGAACTGGTTGCATTTTGTTTTCATTGCTTTACTCACTTGTGAAGTGGATACAAATTGGTCGGTTTCAGGAACTTCATATCATATTATAATTAGTTAACTGTGTTTACGCTTTTGCCATGATTAGTTGTATTTAATGGTTTCTCCCTATTTTACTCCGTTTCCTTGTGGTGTTACTGGTAGTACGTCCGACTACCCATCGGAAGGAAATCCATGCGAAAGTATAGCCGATTCCAAATTCATGCGAAAGTATACTAATTTTTCTCATTTTTCTCGCTCCATAAAAATCCTAAAAAGCACACAAGCAAAAGGTATGGCTGATTATAATTCATCACTATATGGTTTGGAGAATGAATTTCCTCCTTTCTAGTCGCTATGTAAGTGGAGGAGGCTGTAAGGAGCCCTCTGCCATACTGCAAATCTTCGTACTGTAAGTGCTAGCATGCGCGACTAAGAATCGAAAGTTCGAATCTCGGCGAGGGCAACACTGATTTTCCTGTTTAATACTCGATATCTCTTAATAGCAGTTTTTTTTTTCGTTTTTCGCTCAAAAGATTCAGATTCCTAAAAAGTACTCATTTTCGAGAGGTTTAACTTAATACATTAAATTCTTCATATTATGGAAAAAAATTAAAAAATTTATAAGTTTTTTTTTCTTTTCCAGCTTATATTTTATATCTAAATCGGATGCTCCCTCTCCTTATTTCATTTCATTCGTATTCTCTCGAAAATTCTTAATTCTGCTGTAGTGTTGTTAAGTAACTTACGTCATTTTCCTAGCGAACAATGTTCCATCAGCAAAGCGTATTAGCAATTTTGACTGTATCTGACATCTGACTGTGTCGCAAGAATCCAAAATGCTGAAAATGTTTTTAACGTAAAAAAAAAAAAAAAAAAAAAAAAAAAAATGTTTAACGTAAACTAAAGCTTAGACATAAAGTTTATTTCAACTATTACAGCCTATGTTGTGGAAAGATTTCGAGGAACAACGGCAGTACATTACAAATAAACCGACATTAATTTTACGTAAAAGCTTTCTGTAACTATAAATGATAGTAAGCACGAGAAGGACGCCATTATATGAAATCGTGAAGAGCTTTCATAGCGATGTTGAAGATGATAAAGAAATAAACTTTCTTTTATTATGGTGTTTGGAAAGCACTCACATCTAACTGTCTACTCCTTTTAGTTTAGCTTTAAGTTACCTGAACTTTGAGGAGCAGTTCCTTTTCTTTTATCTGAGAATATTCTCTTAAATCGTGAAAGGTATTTAAAGATTTTATAAGTTTGGAATATTATGTATAAACTCATGTTCAGAAATTTAATTTTCAATATGCGTATGAAAGGTAACAATTCATTTAAAATGCTTTAATTTATTTCTCTCCAACTTGAAAAGTCATCAAATAAAATGCTGCCAATTTTTCATAAAATTCAATTACTCTTCTCTAAGAACATTTTTGTTATTATATTATTTGTTCTAAAGGAAAATCTGTCGAAGGTAACAGGTGCCTTTCTGGAGGATCTTTCAGAAGAATTTGGTTCATATTTACTTTATACGGGGAGAAAATACATTGTTAATGCATTTCTTAGTTTTTAAACCTAGGTTAGAAACCATTTTTCATAGGTCATATCCACTCGGCTACTGGTAGCCTACAAATACCTTTTTAAAGCTATGAAACTAGAAATTCACATGTGCAGTATGTGGACAGAACTTTCGGTCTTAAGATCACATCCAGTTCTATGTTTATTAGGTGCAAAATTTTGCTGGCCATTTGAGAAAACTACTAAATTCAGAATACGTTAATCTCTTTGTATTTTGAAATGTCTTGTTTTTATATGTACAGCTAAAATATAGCAACATCTGAGAGCAGGTGTACTTTGAAGTTTCATTTCTTTTACCATGATCCGAAAAGTGAATTAGTCATTATTCAAAACTCGTCAAGCTAAAAGACGCGAAGTCTTTTGAAATCTTTGTAAAACTTCCTCAACATGTAGTTTCATTTATAGGTTCAGAAGTGGCGCTCTTTTTTAAATTGGATTCAGGTGTTCAAGTGTTTATATGAAGTCACAATTGAAAAGAACTTCTGCGCTTAAATTTATTCTTTTAGGTTGTTGTAATTACAATAATGTAACCATCATATCGTTCCTTTGCTATGCTTATCCTAACAATATAACGTTCAGGACGAATGTGGTTTAATTAATATTATCTTTTAAAAATTAATTTAAAAATACATACATACATACATACATATATATATATATATATGGAATCGGAACTTACTATGCTTGACGTATGTGAATTTACTTCAGAGATGGTTGTTGGATTCCATGTCGATGGGCTTCCAACAAACCAGTCCGATTTATAAATAACTTGAATATTTAATGAAAACATTAATAGTTACTACAAACTATAAAGTGATTACATTCGTAGATGGAAAGGCTAAAAAAGCAGAATCGTCCACTTATTTGATTGGCGTTTGTTTGGCGCTTTTTTAAAGAGTAAGAAGAATTGGATTTTTGTCAATTTTTTTTTACTTTTTAAATGAAAATAGGTCGATGTGTACATGGATAAAGGGAGTGTACAATGCCATTTTTGTGCAATTCTGGGGTTTCTTTTTTATGTGAAAATAGGTCAATGTGTACATGGATATCAAGTATGTGCAATTCTTAAAAACGCGCCAACCAGTGGACGATTCTGCACTTTCCCCGATGGAAATAGATGAGATTATTTACAGATGCATATAAGTTTGCAACTTAAAACGTCGTATCAGAGAAGCATCTTAATCGCGTCATTGGCGGGCGATGACGCGGGAATCGTCTGCCTTCTATCACCAGAAAAAAAAATTCTTTCACACAGTTTGCAGTGCCATCCGATTGTTGTGGACGATGCCATTACACATATTTTTACGTGCAAATTTAAAATAGAATGCAAGTGAGAATTTTGAATTTCAGTTATGGGATGTCTCACAGCTCACATCGGTGTTATTCTATCCAGAAGCGTAGTTAACAATAATAATTTAAAACATGTATTCAAATTATACTGAATAATGACGCTTGTGAATTATCTTAAACTGGCCCTCGAATATACAGAAGTTAGCTTCAATGGTCATAATGCTCTAAGAAATGAATAACAAGAAGAAACAACAACACCATTTAAAGAATCAAATTCTTATTTGCATAGTAAAATAGGGTCTGCCTACTTGTATTAATTTATGCTAAGAATTTACGTAAGATGACTATGGACTTCACTAGAACAAATCATTCCATTAAGGTATTGCGTTTATTTCATTTTATAGGATGTTTTGAAATCCACATCAGCAGTAGGGGGTGGATGTTGCGCCCCCGACATTTTATCTTGCATCATGGACAGCAAAGAAAAAGTCACTTCTAAGCGCTACGGTCGTCACATCCCTCTCACAAAGAAACAAGGAGTCTCGGGTGAAAGTGCAGGATGTCAAGATTTCGACGACTTTCAAGTCCAAAAACATGAAAAAGATTTTAGGTAAGTCGTAATTCTTTGACTGGGATTAAATATTAATATAGTTAAGAATGAAACTTTATAATTCAAAATCACAGTTACCCAGCTTCTCAGTGTGTGCCATAACTTTTTATGACGGTTCAAAGAGAAAATTTATGCCAAGATTATATGGAGCTTCAAGTACTTGAAAGGAAATTTATAGCTTCTTAGCAGCAAAGTTATCAATGTGGCAGTACGTTAATCTCAAGATACAGTGAAATAGAAACAGCGCCACTTATGTTAAGTTTAACTAAAGTTTGTGCTATTTTCGTAGTCCAACACTTTTGGAAAGAATCTCACTCTGCTCGAAGTACAAAATAAACTAGTCTAAATGGGCAAGATGAATAATCAGTTGCTCCACTTTAAACATTTTTAAAGCATTATTCGCAAAACCAAAAGTAGAAATTCTCGAAATTAACACCTCGGAGCGGTATTATTGTTTTCACTTAAGTTTTTGTATGATTTAATAAAACTTGGGATTTAATATCAGTTGAAGGTTCTTAATATATTTAATTGATCTTTTATATTATGAGATTGTATTGCTCACTATAATGCAGGAAATCTTTTAAAAGTACTTGCATCTGAATTTCTTAATGTTATTTTTAACAATTATTATTTTACACTGGTAGCATATTAAATATACATTGGTCATCAAAATTAAAGGATAATGAGAAAAAGGATGCTCACTGAGTTAAGGCTGCAAACATTACCCAATACTATAATGATTTCTGTTAATTAAATACAACTGAACACAAAATTGCACTTCGCATACGTTAGCAACGGAAATATGAAAATTCGGTGACTGATAGTGTGGTGCGCAATATACCCATGGTGAATTTCCAGTCTGTGGTGTTGTTTAAAGTGATGTGTTTTCTAAGAGTGATCAGAATTCAGTAGTTATGGCTCAAAGACATCATTTAAGTTAAGGTCAAAAGTGAGGAATAATTGGTATAATTGAGGGATGCCAAAACAAATGGAGATCGTCCAAGATTTGAATGTCCTTTAAAGTGTTATATCAAAAGTGTGGAGCCACTTTTAAGCATTGGATCAGTTGATACACAGCCCGGTCAACAGCGGCCAAGAGTAACAACTGCATCAGGAGACTGTTTTTTGTGGTTGTCAGGTGTATGGAACTGCGAAGCAACTACATGAGATTTGGTTTAGACCTTCAGGCTGCCAGAAGAACTTGAAGTAGCCGTTATACTGTTTAGAGGCCAACAGCACCCCTAAACAGTTCAACTTGGGGTTCCAATAACTGCGGTTGCGGAAACGGGATATTTCACAGACAAGAGAAGGCAGGTTGCGTGTTCCATCCTCTCTGCAGTGAAAACACGTCTAGAATCACTGTTCAGGCTGTATCTGGACTCGTCAATAAACACTACGCGGGTCCAGTCGTCTTGTCTCCGACGACACCAGTTTACACGACCCTCCTGAAAGCTAGAATGAGTGAGACACAACCACTGGTATTCTCGCTTACAGTCCAACCTCGTTAAGTCTTCGTTCAGCAGTAGAACGGCTGATTCAAGTTCTTGTGCCAGCCTGAAGGTCTAAAACCAAATCTCATGTAGTTGCTTCGCAGTTCCTTACGCTTGACAACGACAAAAATCGGTCTCCTGATGCAATTGTTACTCTTGCTGGCCTTTGATAGGGCTGTGTATCAACTGATCTAATGCTTAAAAAGTAGCTCCACACTTTTGATATAACACTTTAAGGAACATTCAAATCTTGGAAGATCTTCATTTGTTTTGGCATCCCTCGAATCTACCAATTATTCCTCACTATTGACCTTAACTTAAATGATGCCTTTGAGCCATAACTACTGAATGCTGATCACTCTTATAAAACACATCACTTTAAACAACATTACAGACTGAAAATTCAACATGGATATATTGCGCACCACAATATTAGTCACCGAATTTGCATATTTCCGTTGCTAACGTATGCGAAGTGCAATTTTGTGTTCAATTGTATTTAATTAGCAGAAATGATTACAGCATTGGGTGATGTTTGCAGCATTAATTCAGTGAGCATCATTTTTCTCATTATCCTTAAATTTTGATGACCATTGTATATTTAATATGCTAACAGTATAAAATAATAATTGTTAAAAATAATATTAAGAAATTCAGATGCAAGTACTTTTAAAAGATTTCCTACATTACAGTGAGCAATGCAATCTCATAATATAAAAGATGAATGAAATATAGGTAATCGACATCAATTTATTTATAAGGCATCATGTCTATATTAGCATTTTGTAAATGTTAATGATTTCATAATAATTAGTAATTTGGGACAGCCTCCAGTTTTAGCAACATTTATACGAAGAGAAATATGCGGCATACAATAAAAGTAATAGAGTACGTCGATTTCAAAATTTCTGCCTCTGCTTCTTTAGCATGTGATTGAGTGTAACTGAAATAAAATCTTTTGGTAATGATAAAATTTTACAACAGCATACAGATTTCAGTCTTGTATAAATACATTGTTAAATTTATTCAGATTCCAACCTTCATTTTCAGACGTCATGTTCATTTAAGACTTTCCTATTTACACTATTTTACACTCAAAAAATAAAATACAGAAACTAAGACTAGATTTTTCAAAATGGCAATTGCTTTCCTTGAGTATTAATATTATACTACAGTAAAGTTCATCTACCACACCGTTTAACAAATTTAAGAGACCAATAATCTAGCAAAGATGCAGTTCTTTATAAATATGATGTGTGACAAAAATATAGTTATGAAAAAGAAATAAATTGAAGAATGAAACTAGTGCGCTTAAGAATCATACTACAATTAAACAAACGTAATTTTGCAGGAAATATATATACTTGGTGCGATGAAAATCACTATTACATATACTTTCTGTAAAAGAAAAATTGAATTATGAACTTTGTCAATTGTCTAATCAGGAGTATGTTCAGCTCGAATTTGCTATATGGCATAACATTTTGATAAGGCATTGAATGATGGAGATTGGTTTTAGAAGAATATTTCATATTCATGAAGAGGAAAGTAAAGAGGGAACTAAAGATGTATCAATGGGGATTGTGATATAGCAGCTACGTGTATGCCTAATTGCAACAAGCATATTCGATAAGATTTAAATCTGTAGAGCACGGTGGCTACTCCATACGCTCTATTGTTTCTTCTTCAAGCATATGGTTCAGTAGGTGCTCTTGGCCATATTAGGTGTTACTATCCATCAAGAGAATGGAATCACATTCGGCATAAATGCATTGCAATGAAAAATAGTCTAAGAATCTCGTCCGTGGGACTTTAAGAAATCATGGACCCATTCTAAATGACGCGCTGGTCAGTATTTAAATGAGTCCTGCGTAAACGAAGAAAAAGTGATTTTTCTCGGATATGTGCTGAATTGTATCAGGTGCCGCGTTCTCTTAAGATCAGAAGCCGTTGAGTAAGCGCTGTAGTTGAAAAAGGAAGAGAACTTGGCTCCACTTGTCAGGTTCCCAATCTTAGTGTTCTTCAACTCACTTTCTTTGAGTTTACGATGCTGGGAGATGAATGGAGGTAAAAACCTGTCTTATGTACATACAAGCCACATGCGCTGAGGTGTCTGCAAATTGTTCATGCTGACATTCGTCTTCCACTTGCTCTTTAAACTTGGCTTTCTGACACATGTTTCCAAAGAACTGGCAAATAATAATCATAATCTGAAATGATAGATCGTGAAAGACCTCGACCAAGATGTCTTAACACTTTTACTGACTCTACAAGCGTCAAATTATATTTCGGCACATTCCAGTGGCAGACTCTAAGATCCGTTGACCGGCTTCCAGTATTCGACCATGCGATCAAAATAATATTGATTCAGCACACTAATATCAGACAGATGCAGCAAACTGTTTCTTCCGTGACAAACCGTATAAAATTAGAAGTGTTTTGTGTGATTTTCGCCCTTGTGAACGTTCGAGGTGTTGATAATAACGGCTTTATGAATTGCTTTTTGAACTACTTTCCAAACTCCTTTTTGAATCGCTGAATAATGAAAAACTATCTTTTATTATTCAAAGGAATAATCTGAAAGTTCATTAAAGTGTTGCTCATTAATATATTGTGTTTTGAGTAAAATCGTTTAAAAAAGGCGATGTTCTGATTTTGTTGGCCAGTGCATTTAATGGTAAAACTCTTAATGTCTCTGACAGTTCCCGAAACGTTAAATAAATTCTTCCTCCCAAAATTTATTTTCTGCACACGTCGTCTTCAGAGTTGTGATAATTTCCAATTTATACAAAACACATAGCGTAATACGGAGTACAGTAGACACTTCTGTTATCTCAGATAATTAGGGTGATGATGCTTTGAATATTTGAAAATTAATATATAGCTCAAAGCCAGAGCTGCAGATAAAAATGCATGCAATTTATATGAAACAATATAATTTTTCGTCAATTATATTTAGGAGAATTAGTTAAGAAAGAGCAATGGTAAACTCAAAACCCTCACAAACTATCACATGCAGAGATAGTAAAGCTTTTCGAAACAGGTAAAGTTAGAAAATTAGTTAGGGCTTTGTCGCATTTCGAATGCTGGATCTTTTAGTCAATAGCTGGAAATGTTAACAACTTGCACAAAAGAGAATAGCTGGACACGTTAACAACTACAACTAACAAGGAGAGCACGCAACGAGAAATGCAGAGATATTTTAAATCTAGATTATCATATCAATATTTTATTGACAATAAAACCATTTATTTAAAGTTACATAATTAATTTAACTTCAGAAATGTAAGTTAATGCGTCTTTATGGAAGGTATAAATTTAATTATTAAAGGTAATGTTGTAACTTTAAATACCTTAAAATAGGGTAAGGTAATAGTGATAGGTAACGGGGGTAATAGAGTAAGGTAATAATAGGTTAGGTTAAATAGGGTAGGTTTAAGGTAATAAATTTAATTATTAAAGTTATTGGTAATTAAAGGTATTGGTAGACGTTAAGACGTCTTTATGGAA